CGTCTTAGCTAAGTCGCGTCTTATTTTAGACGAAATGTGCCGTTTATACGGAAAGTTCGCGTCTTATGAAAGATGCGTCTTACTTTTCCTCGTATAAATGGCCCTATTGATTTTTTTGAAGCAAAGTCAAGTGATCTGAATCATAATCAATGTGCAGGCGCTATCACTTTGGCAAAGATTTCTGCCATGGTGAGACAGACCTCTTTCACTTAAATGTCCTGGGCCAGATGGCTTTACATTAGAATATTATTTACATTTTTGGAATTTGCTAGTGCTGCTTTTTGTCAGTGTATATAATGACAGCTTAAAAAGAAGTTCTCTTAGTGAATCAATGAGGTTGAATGTCACGCGATTACTCTATACAAAGAAGGGTGATATTATGGAGTTAAAAAATTGGCACCCCATTCCTTTATTAAATGTTGATTATAACATTATTTCTAAGGTTCTTACTCTGCATCTTTCTCACATCATGGCTTGTTTAATTGACCCACATCAGACATGTTCTCTTGCGGGTAGATTGATTTCTTCTAACCTTATTTGACTGCGTGACGCCCTCGTCATAGATATTAAACTCACCCTTTCTTCCGTTGGTCTTTACTGCATTGCACTGGTTTGGACGTTGAATTTAACCTGTTGAGCATTTAATAACAAAATGCTAACCAGCTTGGTCTTGTCTTGATCGATGGCAAGCTGTATTTGGCCTTTTCGCTTGTTTCTCTGGCATTCCCGGCCGTTTTCTTGGCCTGTAATTGCATATAAAATGGATGGTAGACTTGTGGAAGCTGTGATTTCAAAAAAGTGATGTCACAAACGGTGATTTAAGGCCACAGAGCAAAATGTAAGATTGCCACACACTCTTGAACGAACGAGTGATCTATGCCCAAGCTATATTATTGTGAAAGAATTACCTCACAACTTGATTACTTGGAGTCAGCAGAGGTACATTCTGGCCAGGGGTAAAACAGCACGAATAATAAAAAAATTCCAAGAAAAATAACAGAAAAGAAGAAGCCTACAACGTGGGGTATTCCCAGGCAGTCACCCATCCAAGTACTAACCCTGACCGACAGGGCTTAACTTCTATGATCAGAGGAGAACCAATGTTCTCCCTGTGGTATGGTCGTAGGTGAGAGAAAGGAGAGAAAATTTTACTTCACCGAGTATGGTGAACATGTAAGCAAGGCACTCGATTAACCTGCTCAGGCGACCCTGACCTTCAAAACAGGCTATGACGTCCTCTTTGTAACTGTAAATTAATTTGTGTGGCCACTTACACGGAGCTTCCCATGCCTTAAAACCTTTACGGCGCACCAGGCAGTCCCAGTCTGCCTTGTTTTTGTCTTCCGTGTCCTCCTATAGGTTAATGGCAAAGCTGTTAGGGCCTTCGTGCCATGTAGACACTATTTGATCCCTGTCTATACACACTGTAGTATCCTGAAGAGCTTGGCCGAGCGTCTGTGCTTGGACTGAGCCTATGATATTTCCCTGTCCTTGGATTGAGTGCCAGATACATCAGTATTGCAACCACCATATTTGGGATAGGGAAGGAGACAACCACCCTAGGTGTGGAGAACCTAAAGGGGTATCACTTCTCGGCCTTTTGGCTAAGACAAGTCAAAGGGCCCCTTCGCTACCCAGAAGGTAAAAGGAAGAAATTCAACATGTGAAGAGTTTGACATCTTTAGTCTCCCATGCAAGTGGAAGAGCCTTTAATTCAAGAGATCAATAGTGACAGTACAAGTATAACTCCTGTTTTGTTCATACAGTCTTCGCCAAGTGCCCACCCCCGCACCCCCCCAAGGAACTAGCTCATGCTTTGCAAGCTTCACAACATTAAAGGGGTATTAATTTTCGGGCTTTTGGCTAAGACAAGGCAAAGGGCCCCTTCCGTACCCAAAAAGGAAAAGGAAAAAAATCAACATTTGAAGAGTTTGACATTTTTTGTCTCCCATGCAAAGGGAAAAGCCTTTTATTCAAAAGATCAATAGTGACAGTACAAGTATGACTCCTGTTTTGTTCATACAGTTTTCGCCAAGTGCCCCCCCCCCCCCCCCCAAGGAACTAGCTCATGCTTTGCAAGCTTCACAACATGCTGGCCACCACTTGCAAACTGTGTCTTTCAATTCCTGGAATGTGCGGATAGAAATGATCAGTTTCCTTTTCCATTTATACAGTTGTGTCAAGTCAGGATATTATTGTGGGTTTCGACAAAGCTGGAATTGATGTGGATAGTATTGTTTCTATCCAGCAAAGAGCGAGCAATAATTTGTGGGTGGTCACCTTCAACAGCAAAGCAGTGAAAGATGCTGCACTTAACGAACCGAACATCACAATTGTGGCTGCATGGTGTTCCTCGGTGACTGTGAAACCGCATGTCGATTGTCAAGCTGTATGAGCGCGCCCAACTAGTGCTGAATGTGCTGAGTGCAAGGAACGCACTAGAAAAGGGAAAGGAGAAGGAGCGCCTGGAAAAAGAACACAAGGATCACAAAGATCGTGAAAAAAGCAACGGGAAAAAGATCGTGCCCATGAGTCGGATAGAGAAAGAGGGAGGTGTCATCACAGAAGACATAGGGATGACTACGAAGATCACAGAAGGGATGAGAAAGGTGATCGTGACTGTGATTGTGATCGCTCCCTTCATCACTATAGGAGCGACAGCAACAGTGATTCCAGTCCAGACGATGATCATGGGTGGACCAACATGTAGTACAAGAGAGGCAAAAGCACTTCACATTAATTACCTTCAGTCCAGTTAAAATTCTCACCATCAATGTCCGTGGGCTAGGCACTGCCTGTAAACATGATGTTTTTCTACATGAGTTAAATGAAAACTTAGATTACAATTTTTTTCTTTTACAAAAGACACACATTGGCTGTAAGACTTAGGCTCATTCAATCTAGAAAATGTTAAGGACAATTGTTTTTGGTCCCTTGGGATCGGCAAATTCGCTGGTGCGACAATTTTTGTTTCCCCCAAATTTTATGGGAAAATAATCCATTATGTCCATGACCCTGATGGCAGAATTTTAAGTCCTCTAGTCGATGTTAATTCCTTCAAATTTAACGTCATTAGTCTGTACGCTCCAAACACCCTGTCTGATTGTAAATTATTTTTCGATCCCCTTTATACTTTCTTTCACCCAGTGATTTTTTTTAGTTTGTCCGCACCATCATGGCTGCCGGGTCAAGCTCTTGTTAGTTTATTTAATTTTGGCTTTTCTTACCGATAAGTTTTATCTTTATGCTACTGGAAAGTTCTCTAAGGTAAACACCTTTATAACTGGCTCTGAATTTCATCTGGATGACACTGAATTATTCCACAAATTCGATGAGCTTTGTTTCAAGGTTGTTAAATTTAAATTGATCAAGTTTACCTCTAGAACAAGGATACGCCGCGAAAGTTCAGTTTGGATGAAACATCGAATTTTAAATCTAGAAACTTCTTATTTGGACTTTCCACAGGATTTAACTATCTGTGTTAATGTTGAAAGCAATCCAGGAGATACCGAATTAGCACATGATTCAAGTTCTTCTTCAACTCACACATCAACCACGTTGTCTCGCACTGTTAACGGCCGGTTGGAATTAAAATCACTAAGGATATTTGCAAGCTCCTATATTGCACCCACTGTGTTTAATCGCCTTCAGAGCCTTTACATCTTAAGAAAATGTGGTAGTCGTGGAGGTTGTCGGCGTTTAGGATTGAGTTTTCAGTCTACACGGTCACTAGGAAACTTGGTGGTCAACAAAAATCAATTACTCATTCAAGCAGTCGCCCAGTTAATCCTGCTAATTTGATTCAATTTAACACCTCTCCTGGAAACTATTCCAATGCACATCAACACTGTAAAGTTTGTGTATGGAACGCTCAATCAGTAAGGAATAAAACAACGAGTTTTGTGGACTAGATATATGACAATGATTTTAACATCTTGGCGATTACTTAGATGTGGTTCTCAGATAAAGATGCCACGGTGAAGGCTGAATGTACTCCTGATGGTTATAAGCTGTATGACTATGTAGATCTAGCCATAATGGCGGAGGTACAGCTTTGCTCACTCGCTCAAATATCATTGTTAAGCAGGTTGATGCTTCTATGTAGTGCTCTTTTGAACTTTCTGAATGGATTTTAATCAGTGGATCCTCTCGCATACGGGCTTGCCATCGTCAATAGACCTCCTTACTCCACAAAGCATCCTGTAACAATTTCTTCCTTTGTTTCCGAATTCTCCCAGTACCTTGAATCGTTTGGCTTATGCACAGAGCCCATTTTGTTATGCAGTGACTTTAACATTCAAGTTGACGTCCAGGATAATCCCAATGTCGAATCATTTTTGGATCTAATTGATTTTTTGGGACTTGTTCAACATGTGCACTTTGTAACTCATGTTCAAGGTCATACACTGGATCTAGTTATAACCAGAAAAAATGGACAGTATCATTCAAGACACACCGATTTCAAGCTCTTTTTTGTCTGACCACGCAACAGTATCGTTTAAGTTAAAAGGTTCTAAGTCAGAGTCCTCTGCTAAAGAAGTGTGGTTTCAGAAAATAAATCGATTTATCTTCCTAAGTTTAATGATCTCCGTACTTCACACTTGCTGCTTAACACTCCCAATCACCTTGTTGATCTTGTTAACTGTTTTAATACTACTTTAAAGACCATCACCGACAAACACGCTCCTTGGCGGAAGAGATCCATGACTCAAAGAGCTCAAGCTCTATGGTTGTCTGATGAGATCAGATCTGCAAAGTTCGCCGAAGGATAGCTGAGCATAACTGGAGGTCTAAAAAGACTGAATCTGACTGGAGAACATTCAAACTCCTTTGGAACAAAGTTGTCTTTCTTATAAATAAGTCTCGTCGTGAATTTAACACAGATTTTGTCAGCAACATTTCTGGTGATCAAGCAAGCTTTTCACTGCTACAAAGAAACTGTTAAATCAGACAGCAGATACGCCTTTTCCACCTCACGGCGATAAGTTAGCCTTGGCTAATGACATGGGGTCGTTCTTTATTAAGAAAATATCGGATCTTTGTGTTAGCCTTGATGCAACTAAGAATTTGTGCAGCACTATTAACCACCATTCTTCTCATTGATCTTCGGCCTTTCCTGCTTTTCACTGTGTAGACATGGACTCTACAAAAACTTGTGCTCAGAGCACCGACAAAATCTTGTTTACTTGATCCTATTCCCACTAATACCTTGAATGATTGCCTTGATGAGTTGCTTCTGTTATTATCAACTACGATAAACTTGTCGCTTAAATCAGGATTTTTCCCTGACATTTGGAAAGAGTCGGTTGTTTACACCACTGTTAAAAAAACAAGGTCTTGACTTGGTTTTTAAAAACTTTCGACCAATCAGCAATCTTTCCCTTGTTTCAAAATTGGCTGAAAGAGTGGCAGCTGATCAGATTCAGTCCTACTTAAATGAGCATGATCTTTTTCCTTCATTGCAATCAGCATATCGACGGCACCATAGCACAGAAACTACCCACTTAAAGTTGGGAATGACATTTTGATGAACATGGAAAATCAGAAGGTCACGTTGTTAGTGCTTCTTGATTTGAGCGCCGCATTTGATACCGTGGACCATAGGATTCTCTTAGATCGCCTCCAGTTTGATTTCGGAGTTTCAGGCTCTCCACTTAATTGGATTGAATCGTACCTTTCTAACAGAACACAGCACATCTATAAAGATGGAGTTTAATCTTAAATGTGGAGTTCCACAAGGCAGCTGTCTCGGGCCATTATTGTTTTCTCTCTATGCTTAGAAAACTTTTTATCATCGAATCACATCTTCCTAATTCCCATTGTTATGCAGATGACACGCAACTATATATTTCGTTTAGATCACGAAATGATTTAGAGGAGACTGCTGCTATAACTGCCATGGAATCATGTATTGCTGATATCAGTGCATGGATGCATTCAGATAAGTTAAAACTGAATTTGAATAAGACAGAATGTCTTCTGATTGGAACGCGACAACAACTTCAGAAAGTCAGTAACATCAGTACCTTATCGTTTGGTGACTCCCAAATTGCTCCATCTTGTGAAGTTCGAAACCTAGGAACCTGGTTTGATTCTAAAATGAGTATGCTACGTCACATCAACAAAACTTGCTCAGCAGCTTTCTATTATCTTTATAACATGCGTAGAATTAAGAAATATTCAAGTCATTCAGTCACCGAATTATTAGTTTATGCTTTTATAACCAGAAGACTAGATTATTGTAACAGTCTAATATATGGCCTCCCGAATTCACATACCATGAAACTCCAACGGATATAGAATGCCGCAGCTCGGTTGGTCACCAGAACATCATGATTCTGCCATTGCTTTTCCACCTTCATTGGCTTCCAAAAAGTTACCGTATAAAGTTTAATATTCTACTTTTAAAATTTAAGTGCTTATATAGTCAAGCTCCTAATTATCTAATCGATTAAATTACTATCAAAAAGCAATCCAGGTACTCTCTAAGGTCAAATGAGTCTGTATTCCTCGAGTAACCAGGCATTAAGACCCATCCAACTCTTTTTTTATTATTATTATTAATAATAACTAAATTACAACACAAAGAAAAACAAACAAAAAAAAGGTTCAAAGAAAGTACAGTTCGACTACCTAAAAAAAGACAGGAGCAATAAACGAACGTTGATTGTGTACAATCAGTCAGATATATCTAGTTAAATANAGTTGCAGTCTTGAAACCACTTTAGTTGGCTTTTACGTGGGGTTAAACTTTTGGCTCTGATCAGTTTTTGGTAAATTAATGGACCTGGCTTTTCTCTCTTAACAATTTTTACACTTAACGTTTCAAAGGTATAGTCTCTTGTCTCAGCAGTATCAGTAACATTTTTGCGAATTTGTTTAACAGCTGATAATAAACCAAAAAAACTGAGCGGGCATACTCTTAAATCATGTTTGGAGGCAAAATCTTTGAGAGTCAGAAAATTATCGTTTCCTGATTGGAGGTGTTTAACTTTGGAGATACCTATTTCAAACCATTCTTTAAAAAAATTGGTTTATTATCTATCCTTATTAAAGAGTTGAACCACAGAAACTGTTCTTGAAAAGCGATATCAGAGCTTACTTGATCCACAAAGTTTATTTCTGCCCAATATTCCAATATTTCTTTAAGAAAGGGGTCTGTTGCTCTAACCTCTTTCTTAGTGTCCGAGACATTGAGATTACCAAGGAAAATGAGATTGCGACCATAGTTCTCCAGTTCTAGATCAAAGAGAAATTTCCATTTTCCGTGGTTTGTCGTGTCCAAGTACTTTTTAACCCATGTTGTTTTAAGAGATTTGTTAAAAGAGCAGAGACTAATCATCTTCAGGCCTCCATATTCAGGTTCATTGATCATAACTTTTCTCTTGATTTTGTCACCTTTAACATTCCATTGGAAATGGTAAAACATGTCATTTATTTCTTTTATAGCGTGATGATTTGAGCGTAAAGCGGAGAGCAGGTAAACCAGTTGTGATGCAGTCAGTGATTTGAGGACAGTAATTTTCCCTAACAACGTGAGCCTACAGTATTTCCAGCAACTCAAAAGCTTCCTAATGTTTTAAGTTTTTTCGTTGTAATTCTACCTTAAAGCCGTGTCTGGATCAGTTGACAGCCACAAACCAAGTGTTTTGACTTTATATTTTGGCCACTTAAACTTCTTTCCTGAAACAAGGATTTGTTCATACCCTATCTTACAACCGATCCAAAGAGCTTCCGTTTTGCTATCGTTTAACTTAAGACCAGAGATCTTACCAAAATCATCTAAAATTTGTATTGCTGATGTAAGGGATTTCTCTGAACCGTCTATGATAGGAGTGGTATCATCAGCGTATTGGCCTATCTTAACTTCGTCATTACCTAGAGAAAAACCTCTTATGCATTTAAGTGCTTATATACATTTAAGTGCTTATATAGTCAAGCTCCTAATTATCTAATCGATTAAATTACTATCAAAAAGCAATCCAGGTACTCTCTAAGGTCAAATGAGTCTGTATTCCTCGAGTAACCAGGCATTAAGACCCATCCAACTCTTGGCGATTGTGCATTCCACTCAGCTGTACCTTATCTCTGGAACGCATTACCTTCGGCAATTCACAACATGAAGACATTGGACACTTTTAAGACTGCTGTTAAGAGTCATTTTTTAATCTAGCTTTTAAAGAGATTTAATTGTTGGCTTTTATTGTAGGTTTTTTTTGGATAGTTTTTTACACTTTTTATTGTAGTTTTTAATAGTTTCTCACGGTTTAGTCACCTTTATCATAAATTTAATAACAATATTGTAGAGTGCAACCAAATGCATCCATATAGAGGTTTGCCCTGTATAAATGTAAATTATTATTAATTATTATTATCATTAATTTTAGGAGGTGATTTTACTTTTGACTCTGAACTTAATTGTTTGAATATAAAATTGGACTTTAGCGCGGACAAGCGTTACTTGTCTGCCAGGAAGTCCAATTGCTGTTTTGTCAATGTCGAAAGAAAAAAAAGAAATCCGAAGGTGATTTATTTTCAGTGTTTGAATAAAGGTTTTTCACAGGCTTCTCTTCTTGATCGCTTTCCCTGCCCTCTCTGCCATCACGATTTTGTTGATTTATTTATTCTTCCAGTTAATGTTTCTCCTCATTTAAGTGCATCTTAGAGGGATCAGACGGGTGTCCTCTCTCCACCTTCTCTACTTTTGAACATCTGCAGTCTTAACAAACCAGATTAGTAAAAATCCCGTGATCAAAGGCTTCCTTCTCCCCGGAGCAGGTGGCCTTCAGTTAACAATATCGCAGTATGCTGATGACACAACTAATTTTTTAAGGAATGAGAGATCTGAGACCTTTTACGAACAGTAAATAAGTATGAGAGGGGGGTCTGGAGCCATGCTCAATACAACCAAATCTGAGGCGATGTGGCTTGGGAGGTGGCGAGCAAATGGTGCCTCCCTCTTTGGCCTCAAATGGGTTAATAAACTTAGGATCCTAGGTGTTTAACTTTCGAATGGTTTAGTTGATGTGGATGAAGATAATTGGCGACCTAAATTGGATCAGTTAAAAAAGGTTTTAGTGTTGTGGTCACAAAGAGATATTTCCTTTTTGGGTAGGGGTATGATTTTAAATTTTCTTGGTACTAGTAGGTTTTGGCATGTTGCCAAAGTACTACCACCACCAGGTTGAGTTTCTCTCAAATACAAATGAGTTGTGTGGCCTTTTCATTGGAGGTCCAGATCTGAAACTGTTAGGCGGAAGTCTTGCGTGGCCCCCATCGTGCGTGGGGGTCTGAACATAGTAGACTTTGAAACTAAATGTTCCAGTTTGCATTTGTCGGGTCTCTCCGGGTTGTCTCAGTATAGGACAACCTCCGAGTGCAGCCCACTTTCCTGTGGGGAAGAAATATTGAATTGATAAGAGACAGTTTTTTCCCCTTTGCTTGCTGTTTAATCGTTTTTTAGCAACATCTGGGTGCTCTG